CTGTGCCTCTGTGTCTCTGTGTCTCTGTGTCTCTGTGTCTCTGTGTCTCTGTGTCTCTGTGTCTCTGTGTCTCTGTGTCTCTGTGTCTCTGTGTCTCTGTGTCTCTGTGTCTCTGTGTCTCTGGGTCTCTGTGTCTCTGTGTCTCTTCTGTGTCTCTTCTGTGTCTCTTCTGTGTCTCTTCTGTGTCTCTTGTGTGTCTCTTCTGTGTCTCTTCTGTGTCTCTGTGTCTCTGTGTCTCTGTGTCTCTGTGTCTCTGTGTCTCTGTGTCTCTGTGTCTCTGTGTCTCTGTGTCTCTGTGTCTCTGTGTCTCTGTCTGTGGCTCTGTGGCTCTGTGGCTCTGTGGCTCTGTGACTCTGTGGCTCTGTGGCTCTGTGGCTCTGTGGCTCTGTGGCTCTGTGGCTCTGTGGCTCTGTGGCTCTGTGGCTCTGTGGCTCTGTGGCTCTGTGGCTGTGTGGCTGTGTGGCTGTGTGGCTGTGTGGCTGTGTGGCTGTGTGGCTGTGTGGCTGTGTGGCTGTGTGGCTGTGTGGCTGTGTGGCTGTGTGGCGGTGTGGCTGTGTGGCTGTGTGGCTGTGTGGCTGTGTGGCTGTGTGGCTGTGTGGCTGTGTGGCTGTGTGGCTGTGTGGCTGTGTGGCTGTGTGGCTGTGTGGCTGTGTGGCTGTGTGTGTCTGTGGGTTGTCTGGTGTGTTGTGTGTCTGTGTGTCTGTGTGTTGTGTGGTCTGTGTTGTTGTGGTGTCTGTGTGTCTGGGCGTCTATGTTGTGTTTGTGGCGTCGTGTGTGTTCTGTCTCTCTGTGATGTGTATGTGTGTCTGGAGTTGTCTGAGTGTTCTGTGTGTTCTGTTTGTTCTGTGTGTATGCTGTGTGTTATCGTGTGTCTGTGTGTTGTGTTGTGTCTGTCTGTGTGTCTGTCTGTGTGTCTGTCTGTGTGTCTGTCTGTGTGTCTGTCTGTGTGTCTGTCTGTGTGTCTGTCTGTGTGTCTGTCTGTGTGTCTGTCTGTGTGTCTGTCTGTGTGTCTGTCTGTGTGTCTGTCTGTGTGTCTGACTGTGTGTCTGTCTGTGTGTCTGTCTGTGTGTCTGTCTGTGTGTCTGTATGTGTGTCTGTCTGTGTGTCTGTCTGTGTGTCTGTCTGTGTGTCTGTCTGTGTGTCTGTCTGTGTGTCTGTCTGTGTGTCTGTCTGTGTGTCTGTCTGTGTGTCTGTCTGTGTTTCTGTCTGTGTGTCTGTCTGTGTGTCTGTCTGTGTGTCTGTCTGTGTGTCTGTCTGTGTGTCTGTCTGTGTGTCTGTCTGTGTGTCTGTCTGTGTGTCTGTCTGTGTGTCTGTCTGTGTGTCTGTCTGTGTGTCTGTCTGTGTGTCAGTCTGTGTGTCAGTCTGTGTGTCAGTCTGTGTGTCAGTCTGTGTGTCAGTCTTTGTGTCAGTCTGTGTGTCAGTCTGTGTGTCAGTCTGTGTGTCAGTCTGTGTGTCAGTCTGTGTGTCAGTCTGTGTGTCAGTCTGTGTGTCAGTCTGTGTGTCAGTCTGTGTGTCAGTCTGTGTGTCAGTCTGTGTGTCTGTGTGTCTGTGTGTCTGTGTGTCTGTGTGTCTGTGTGTCTGTCTGTGTGTCTGTGTGTCTGTCTGTGTGTCTGTCTGTGTGTCTGTCTGTGTGTCTGTCTGTGTGTCTCTGTGTGTCTGTCTGTGTGTCTGTCTGTGTGTCTGTCTGTGTGTCTCTGTGTGTCTCTGTGTGTCTCTGTGTGTCTCTGTGTGTCTCTGTGTGTCTCTGTGTGTCTCTGTGGGTCTCTGTGTGTCTCTGTGGGTCTCTGTGTGTCTCTGTGTGTCTCTGTGTGTCTCTGTGTGTCTCTGTGTGTCTCTGTGTGTCTCTGTGTGTCTCTGTGTGTCTCTGTGTGTCTCTGTGTGTCTCTGTGTGTCTCTGTGTGTCTCTGTGTGTCTCTTGGTGTCTCTGTGTGTCTCTGTGTGTCTCTGTGTGTCTCTGTGTGTCTCTGTGTGTCTCTGTGTGTCTCTGTGTGTCTCTGTGTGTCTCTGTGTGTCTCTGTGTGTCTCTGTGTGTCTCGGTGTGTCTCTGTGTGTCTCTGTGTGTCTCGGTGTGTCTCGGTGTGTCTCTGTGTGTCTCTGTGTGTCTCTGTGTGTCTCTGTGTGTCTCTGTGTGTCTCTGTGTGTCTCTGTGTGTCTCTGTGTGTCTCTGTGTGTCTCTGTGTGTCTCTGTGTGTCTCTGTGTGTGTCTGTGTGTGTCTGTGGGTGTCTGTGTGTGTCTGTGTGTGTCTGTGTGTGTCTGTGTGTGTCTGTGTGTGTCTGGGTGTGTCTGTGTGTGTCTGTGTGTGTCTGTGTGTGTCTGTGTGTGTCTGTGTGTGTCTGTGTGTGTCTGTGTGTGTCTGTGTGTGTCTGTGTGTGTCTGTGTGTGTCTGTGTGTGTCTGTGTGTGTCTGTGTGAGTCTGTGTGTGTCTGTGTGAGTCTGTGTGTGTCTGTGTGTGTCTGTGTGTGTCTGTGTGTGTCTGTGTGTGTCTGTGTGTGTCTGTGTGTGTCTGTGTGTGTCTGTGTGTGTCTGTGTGTGTCTGTGTGTGTCTGTGTGTGTCTGTGTGTGTCTGTGTGTGTCTGTGTATGTCTGTGTGTGTCTGTGTGTGTCTGTGTGTGTCTGTGTGTGTCTGTGTGTGTCTGTGTGTGTGTCTGTGTGTGTGTCTGTGTGTGTGTCTGTGTGTGTCTGTGTGTGTCTGTGTGTGTCTGTGTGTGTCTGTGTGTGTCTGTGTGTGTGTCTGTGTGTGTCTGTTTGTGTGTCTGTTTGTGTGTCTGTCTGTGTGTGTGTCTGTGTGTGTGTGTCTGTGTGTGTGTCTGTGCGTGTGTCTGTGTGTGTGTCTGTGTGTGTGTCTGTGTGTGTGTCTGTGTGTGTGTGTCTGTGTGTGTGTGTCTGTGTGTGTGTCTGTGTGTGTGTGTGTGTCTGTGTGTGTGTCTGTGTGTGTGTGTCTGTGTCTGTGTCTGTGTGTGTGTGTGTTGTCTGTGTCTGTGTCTGTGTCTGTGTCTGTGTCTGTGTCTGTGTCTGTGTCTGTGTCTGTGTCTGTGTCTGTGTCTGTGTCTGTGTCTGTGTCTGTGTCTGTGTCTGT